TTGCTCCTTATTTAATAATATACTGTAGCTGTCGATGATCAATCGGATACAAAGTTACTTCAAGAGAACACCGTGGCTGCTTTAATAGAAGTCAACAAGGCATTAACTCCTCTGAGTAAAGAACCGTCCCGATCTTCAATTGATTCGTTCTTGAATTGTCTATCTGAAGTATCGAAAAAACACTCTTCACTCGCTACAAAGATAGGTTCCTGCAGCTCACATAATCTAGCTTTACAGAATATGTATCGTAATATAGCAAACAGAGGTGAGGTTACAAAAGAACGAATTAAAAATGCCGCAACCATTGGCCTCTATACATTTCACCATGTAGAACAGACAAATCTATGCGAGGTTGTGCTAACTTATGACACAACGCAAAATCATGACGACACAAATTCCACACCTCGCGTAACAGCATCCTACAATTTAGCAGATCTCCATGATCTTTACGGGCGCGCACTCTTGATAGGAAAATCCAGAGCTTCCACCGATCGATCGAGTGGAGAAAATGATGTTCAAGATATTCATAAAGACATAAACATGTTTATTATGCAAGTCGACTTGGTACAACAAATCATAGATGTGGCTTCGAAGTTGATTCAGTTGGGACATTTTCTTTATCAGAAGATGAAGGTTGAGGCACGCGGTGTTTCCGAACTTCAGGATGTGCTGGATAAACTAGCACAGGATCTAAAAACATGGGAAGACATAGTCATTCGTGCGCAAAATGAACATTATTATTTGACTTTCTTCTCTGCACGTCATATCTTGGCTTTTTACAATTATTTTAGAACCGATAATCTCGAACAGGATGACAAACTTAAAGAAGTCTGCCAGAATCTTATACGATTCGTTAATGACGCAGCTCAATTACCAGATAAAACCGGAAAATGGGATGCCGTGCAAGACGAAGACAATTTTTTTTCCGTTCTTTGTGAGATTGGAGCTACATTATTCGATATATTTTCCGATATCCCGCAGCGAACTCGATCCATTCATGCTCTAAAACCGGTAGTGGCCGATACCGTTTTAAGCGGAAAAATATTTGTGGCTGCTTGTCATTCTCGTTCTCTGGTTCCAAACGTTATCTTATCACTCTTCGCTAATCACCAGTCTCTTCCTGAACCATGGCAAATTCTCATCTGTCGAAGTACCACCACTGCGGAAGAGATATCGCTCTTCATCAAGCGTTCTTTCATTGCTGCGGATAACGAGTATAAAGATCATTTATTTTGCATCGCAAATGTTGAGTTCCTGGATTTTGAACTACAGTATAATCTGGTTCAGACTATCCGCGATTTTCAAGAAAAAAAGAAAGAATATTTTCTGGCCCTCGTGTGTACTCAAGAAAAGGGTAGGAACCATCATATTCTGGATCAATTCGCGGAAAACATGCACGTAACAAATGGCCTCGATACAGAATCCATGGAACTTTTGTACAAAGAAATTTGTCCCAACGTTGAATGCGTGATATCAAAAATGTCCGGACAAGGAAAAACGGAATGGATCAGAGAATCCAGTTTCCGAGGAGAAAAGGTTCCACGCACCTTGTTGATTAGTGATGGTGCCTACTTTGGAACTCTGGTTCGACAATTGGCTGATTGCAATTTAAGTGCTGTTGAAAGCCTACATCTTGATGTTACGCTTATCACACACCCATATGAAGTCAACTTCTTTCTATTTGAATTGCTGACATTTAAAGTAGTTTCAGATGGTTTCGATATCGTGCATCTGCCTGAAACTCTAATATTTATCGAAATCGCATCAACGATAAAACATTATCTGCTAGATTCATTACCCATCACCAAATACCTACGTCGACAGGATCTTCAATGGAACATGGATAATCTAAAGGTGTCTCGTCATGTAAATAGCCCTGTTCAAATAGTTTCTCGCTATCTAGATCTGTATTCTCGTGGAATTATTGATGAGACGAATATCCGATTTACGGGAGATAGCGCGATTGACGAGGCATTACCGGCCGAACGTTGTCGACAATTATTGCAGCAGTATTTTTTTGATGGTCCGAAAGATGACATTCATTCTTACAGATTCCTGGAGATTTTCATGAATGTACTGGCGGATCAGTTGGTTCGATTTTCCGCAAGTTCTTTCTTTCAAATAGAACAGCTACGTAGCATGACACAGGAGACAAATATTCGCTCATCTCTTTTGGATATATTGATCACGTGCTCTAAAGAATTTGCAACACGAGCGATTAATACCAAGAATAAGCAAGAAGAGAATGCTCGAGCCATTAAAGAGGAGGATGCTCAAGACATGGACAATGCCCGACTTGGGGATATCACACAATGGGACGATTCAAATCATCTCATGGTCGTATTCTTATCACAAATGCCGGATTCAATATGCGCGCTTTACCGAGAGAAGAACAAAGTTCCAAATAATGTGAAGAATCTATTAAAGAGTCAAAATGCGGAATTACAAGATTATGATTCGATGGAGCCATCTCTTCTTCTAGAGAGATTGGAGCAACTCGCCAGACAAAAAATGCATAAACTCGATGGTTTGCCCAAATACGCGTTATCAATCGAAAATTTGCTCAAGATGGCGATGATATTATTAAGATCACGTGCAAATATGCCGGTAGTTTGTTGTGGAGAAGCTGGTTGTGGCAAGGTTCGAATGAACAAGACGTGTTAAATACTGTATGTCAGTCCTTTTTAATCATTGATCGCTAACTTTTTTTTTTATTAAAATATTAATCTAGACAAGTCTAATTAGCTTTTTGTCAATGGTCATGGAAGTAAATTTTACCGCGTTAAACCTTCATGCTGGAATTCATGAAGACGATATTCAGAATTTTATGAACGAGGCCACAAAACTTGCGCAAAAAGGTGAAACTTGGGTGTTCTTTGATGAGATAAACACGTGTGACCACATTGGAATGTTTGGAAACTTGATCGCCCATCGACTTCTTAATGGAAGACTAATTCATCCAAACATTCGAATATTTGCCGCTTGCAACCCGTACCGACTACGGATCAAGGCTCAGAGCAATGTAGGGCTTTCGGCAATCCTATATGAAGAAAAATGCATGTTGGCTTACCGGGTGCACCCAATGACTGATCAAATACTAGATTATGTTTGGGATTACGGCTGCCTTAAAGCCGAGGATGAGCGAAATTATATTGATATAATGGTAAAAACACAGTTGGGTCACCCATATTTTGCAGAATTATTATGCGCATCTCAAGAGTTTATTCGTAAGGTCGAAGAGCCATTCAGCGTTAGTTTACGAGATGTAAAACGGGCCATCAAACTTTATAAATTTTTCTCTGATAGCTCTAAAAATAGAAAGTCTAAATATGACACCAAAACTCGTTCCCTAGTGTTGGCCCTCGGTGTGTGCTATCTTTTCAGGCTTCACGATCAATTGCAGCGTAAAAACTACCGGATGAAAATGATTGAAATCATAAAAAACCATCAACCTAACTTCAAAACATCGCCAAACACTCGAAATGATGCTTTTGAAATTATAATTCGAAATGAACAAGATGAATACATCAATCATATGAAAAATTATCCTGACGGGACCGCTTGGAATGAAGCGCTCTTAGAGAATATCCTCGTGATGATTGTATGTATCCAAACTCGAATCCCTGTCTTTATAATTGGCGCTCCCGGAAGGTAAATCATAAATGATAATTACTATAGATTGTTTTTTTGAAAATCTTTATTTAGTGTAATTCTGAAACATGACAATTTACATCTTTCTTCTAGTTCAAAGTCATTGGCCGTACGAATCATCAGTATGAATTTGCGCGGAATAGATTCCAAGGATCCTTATTTTCGAACCTTGCCTCAAGTCTACATGATTCCACATCAAGGTTCATCATCGTCAACCTCCGAAGGAATCGAGAAAGTTTTCCAATCCGCTCAAAATTATCAAGAAACCAGTTCAAAAGAAAATCCGGTTACATCCGTCGTCCTTTTAGATGAAGGTAATAAAACTTGAAGAATAACATCAATCATAGTATCTTATTAATTAACCCAATGCTTGTTACTATATATTGTAGTCGGATTAGCGGAAACCAGTCCGCACAATCCGTTGAAGGTGCTTCATGCTTTACTAGAGCCACCTCTCGGTTCCAAAGATGACGTGCCAGCCGTCTCTGTTATTGGAATCAGCAATTGGCGGTTGGACAATAGTAAATCCAGCAGAGCATTGCTAGTTCAACGTCCATTGTTTGCAGAAAATGATCTGATTGATACCGCGAAGCGTTTGCTTGATGGTACTAAACGTTTTGATAACATTAATCTTTTTTTAAAGAAGCTTGCAGATTCATATCTTCGTTACATAAAGAATCAACGATTTGCCAATTTTCATGGTAAGGTTAATAACTTTTAAAATGTCAATTTCTTCATGTGATTTTCTCATCGTACAAATTGCGGTTTTTTTCATTAGGGCTTCGAGATTATTATTTTCTCATCAAGAGCATAAGAAGTATGGGCAAGAAGGATCGAAAGGTATGCACTACTCAACCCTTCATCTATGGTTATATTGCTGTGACTAATTTTTCAAGTTTCCCTAGCCAAATGTTCAACTAGCATTAGCTCGAAATTTCGGGGGAGCTGACAACATGGAGGAGCTGTGTACCATCTATTTTCAAAATGTTTTGAAGCCGGCCCATGTATCTAAATTTAATTATACACCCATACCCGTACAAGAACTTATTAATGCAAATCTTGCAGAAAAAGATGCTCGAAATCTTATGCTCATAGGAAATGGCAATTCCATTGTAACCTTTCAAACATATCAGCTTCGTCAACAAAATATTGAGCCAGTTGTGATTATCGGCTCCCAATTCCCTGATGATAAGGACGGCGGGGAATATTCATATGCTACTCTTAATCGCATAATGGTATTTGGAATTAAGAATTTTACAGTATTTGCAATTCATTAACGATCCAATCAAAATTCTTAATGTGTCTCCTCTTTTTAACCGTGTTTCTGATGAAGATGTGCGTGGAAACGGGAAGGTGTTTGATATTGACGGACCTTGAAGTCATTTACGGTATGCCAAATAAGATCTCATTATTTCTCGATACGTATACAGTCTATATCCAAAAAACCTGATGAATTTTTTGCGCTCGAATAGGTTCTCTCTACGACTTATTTAATCAGAATTTCATAACGGACGAAAATTCAGGTGATAAAGGTGATTCGGGTGACGAAAACAGTCAGAGGAATTATACCAGAATTAGCCTTGGTCCATACTCCAATCCTATGTTATATGGTAATGTCTGGAATTTTCATTTGCGAAGTAAAAAACATTATATTACAGTATATATTTACAAATCCCTCAAACACTTTCTTCTTTTTCCTAGTTCATCCAAACTTTAGGTTTGTTCTCCTGTCTTAATGATAAAATGTGAAAATATGTTTTAGTCAATAGATCCTTAAATCTGTTTGTTTTTTTAAAAAAAAATCAATTTTTAGGTGCATTTTAGTGTTGGATGAGGCAAAGTTACCATTGGCCGATCCGCCTCTCCTAAATCGCTTCGAAAAACAAAAGCTTACGCTTGAAGAAACGCTCACTGAACGCCAAGCAATGATTTTCAATCGCCTAAAAGAGTGGACTTCCCAAATTTCATCTATCTATGAATCGGGTGACGAAGACGCCAAAAGTCATTTTAAAGAAAAAGACATGTTTATTGGATTCACTTCGGAAGAGACATTGCAAAGTTTAATTATAGATCGATGTGGAAAAAATGCCGATTCCGACGATGACACAATTGTTCTTTTATGCAAGGAATCTTTGATTTCGATTGCTACTTCTGACGGTATAGTAAGAGCCGACAAATCACTTTTGAAAGCTATCGACGCCTCGGAAGTACAAAAATGGCAGGATGTCTATTTTCAGAATCAGCAACATGGCGGTATTCAGGAATTCTATCGCGCACAACCAAAGGATAATTTAATCAGTCACCTGACAATTATAAATACTTTTTCTAATATCAATACTGATATCAAGTTACTCTTGAAAGGCATTATGAGTTGTCAAGTGGATAAACTGTCAACCTTCAAGTCCGAAGCTGAACTACAGAATCAAATCAAACGTTTTTATGAATCCGAGCATGATTTATATATTTTGCAATGCGATCTCTCAACTGTTAACGCGGGATGTATTAGACTTGCGAAGTTTATCATCGAGCAATATCAAAACGAATCTGTGAATAAGGAATATCAACAGATTAAAAATGTATGCATAATTCTTCATTTCAGTAGAAATTTTGATAAAGATAGCGCAAATTTATTTAACTTCATGTGCGGCTGGAATCAAATGACCATTGAAAACTTGACAACGTCAGAAAATTCGCTCTCACTATTTCTTCACTCGACCATCAGTGAAATTCTTAACGAACAATTGTTGTTTGAGAAAATTTTGAGTCAGGAGTTGTTATGGTGTTTGCTCTGTATGAAGCATCCCTCCTCAAAGAAGTCGGTTGATCACATAAGGTTAGTATAATGTATACGGTACTGTAGTATATACAATATGTTGTATATACACACAGCATACTGTAGTATATACGCACAACACACCGTATTAAATAGGTACCCTGAAAATGCCAACATCATTTTATTTTATTATAGGGAATTAATACGTGACATCCCAAAAAGCGCGAGATTGGTTGAATGTTTGAAATTACGAACCGAAGAATGGCTGCAAGCTAATTCTTCGGATCAATGGCATCTAGATGTCGCCTTGGACCAAAAATCATTGACCTTGCATTCCTCTTTTTCTGTGGCTTTAGAAACGCATGTGCGCGCCTTGATTCGAAAGCCTATTGCCAAATTACTCTATATTCTAGAACGAAATCACTCAATAACGCTCCTTTTTTCATGGGACAACAACGCAGACGAATCAGATGAGAATGAATTATTTAAATTTTGGAAAGAAATATTCATTAACAAAAAGATTGTGAACATTGACGATATGGTTATGGATCCTCGGCCAGACTTGTACAGTACCTCGGGAAATTACTTGAATCTTAAATTTCCATTCTCTTATTACTTCATGGAACAAATTGATCAATACAAGAAACTCTATTTCGAGGAGTTGGATCTCATATATGAAAACCCTGAAAATCTAGGTGAAGATGGAAATTTGCGCCCGGAAGTCAAGGACGAATTTCTCGAAAAATTTTCCGAGGGCATTCGAACAACGCTCACAGCATTGACACCGGCAATTTTAGAACTTGCTAGAAGCCTCTATGTCGAAGATTTCATAACGGTCTCTTCCACAAATGCGGGATATTCAAAAGAATCCGATATAAAGCTATTATATATTCTTTTCAGTCGTTCATGTGATGCTGATGCGTTAAACGATCTAGTTAAACTACACATATTTTGGTGGACAAATTCCGATGCACTTATTTCGGAACTTGAATTGGTACGAATGTGTTCTCCAAATATACTTGAAGAAAATAATAATATTGGTGACAATGATCTCTTTGGAAGTCACCTGATAGATCAAGTTGGTAAAATGATGCTTGAAAAGATCATTGAATTAGGAAGCGAAACTGCAAACGATAACATGAATAATAATATACAGGAGTGGCAACGGCAAGTCGTCAACATTCTATCATTCTGCGCAAATATAGAAACATCCTCAGAATCAAAAATTCTACAATTTTTGCGTATATGTAATGACTTGGTATCTAGTGAAGTAATTAAAATTTCAGACATCGTTAATGCTATCAACCTTCTCCGAGAACCAGATCCCGATAGTTTTCTTTCCCAGGAATTTGTCGATCGTATTTTAGAACTTTTTATCGAAATTCCGACCACTACAGAACGCATGATGACGTCACATTGTTCATTCTTTCGACGATGTCTCGACATCATTTCGCCTAATTCACCGGTGCGCTTTCACCTTTATGAAATACTTTTCGGACAAGAACCACATCCCCTTTTTGGTTCCGTTTTATCGCGCGTCTTGCTTAAAGATATCGAGGCGGAATCGGAAAATATTCCTTTAATAATTCAAAACGCAACAGCTATTTTACGTCGCTCCGCTCATCTAAATGCCATCAACAATACTCTTAAGGATTATCAGCTCGATTCTCCGATTTTCGCCTTATGCTGTGATGTAATGCAAAGCGATTTTTTTGCTTTCTATTCATTAAAGGAGTTGGTGAATAGCTTTCAGGACGCAATCAACATCTTATGCAGCACGAATATCGAACCTTTGCAATTAATATTGGCCGTTTCCTCGCTCAAAGAACTGGTGAGCGTCCTTTGGAAATCGGTATCGATCCACGATGCCACGAGAGAACCCTTGGAGTTTGATGTTGAAGAAGTTGATATTGACGACCTAATTGAAAATATCAATGGAATAATGGAACGTCAATCATTTCTAATTCGTTCGTTAAAATTATATTTCCTTCGTGATTTATACGCCAAGGGGCTTTCATTACATGAGATTAAATGTTTTAGTAAAGTGCAATGTAGAACATTCCCTTGGTTAAATGATTTAGAATGGAGCGACGAAGACAATCGAATAGGTTTTGTGCCTTACCGTTTCTATACCCAGTATAAAGAAGCAGAGGAGGCATTTGCACCACTATACGCACGCGGGCAACAAACAAAAGCCATGGATTTTCTGAATAAAGTTTTAACAGACTCATCAGTACATCAAAAAATGTCTTTAATGGGAACCATTATTTCTCATCTCTATGGTATATGTGCCTTGCGCGAACGAGGTCCACACGAAGATACGGCAGTTCAATTTCTACGTACTCAATTGCCAAATATGCCATTTGACAATTTTTATCGTGAAACATTATTATCATTTACCACGAATACTCATCTACTCTATAGCATTTCTCCGGAAACAAGTCAGACAGAGCTATTAATTCGATCGGTTATTGTCCACATCATTGCTCTCCACTCTTGCCTTTCCGCAGCTGAATCTCCATTAGCTGCATACCTGCAAACACTCAAGGCATGCAAGAATACATACATTTTGACGTCCTGTGCGGATGCTGACGCAAATATTCTTCTTGAAATCGGAGATGCGCTTGGTCATTTTACACGGTATGTACGATATTTAATAATATACTAGATTAAATTCAATCTATGAATTTTCTAATTGGACTTCTTTTGAATAGCTATGAATGCGAATGTGGTTTTAAGTACATAGTTACCGAATGTGGTGGCACACAGGAGCAGGGTATTTGTCCACGGTGCAAAAGTCCCATCGGAGGAATCAATTATAATGTTAATCCGGGAAATACGCGTATCGATGCTCAAGCAATTCGTGGGAATGAAGAGGCAAATGCACCGCTAGGTTATGTCTATGAGTCGATCGAAAGTAGAAAAGACGTCAACTATCGTATTCGTAATATGACATCAGTATCTTACCGCGTGCTGCATCTTTTCGTGCATGCGCTTATCGCTGCTACCTCGCAAGAAGATCGTTGGGACTTCTTCAACAATCAACAAAATCAAGAAATAAATCAAGAACCTTTGGAATATTGTAAACAGCATATTAATAATGATTGGAACATGTTAACAAATTTATTTAATTGCAACGATGAAACCTTGGCACTTGTGCTGCATTCGATTCTGACTTCCATGGCCGAAAATCAAATTACAACAATTGTTAGGTTGAACACAATAGAGAATCGACGACTTTGGGAACACGAATTTACTCATCGTTACATCACTCCAAAAGTAAATAATGCCCATGGCACTGCAACGGAATTTCAAAGGCTAGTGAAAAATGTTCAACATAAGCTCGAAAGTGAAATCAATGAAACGTTAGATGTCGACGATGAGTATCAGAACAAATTTTATCCTAGGATTTGGAGACGAGTTGCTGAGACGAGCCTTGAAAATTTACGGGCTTATTGCGTAGGATATCAAAACTTTTCCACGGAATTCCCCCTTTTGTCATTATTCTTCGAATATGAAGATCAATTACCATTATCAAAAAATCTTGCGCCAATTGTAAAGTTCGCGCGAATACTTTCCTCAAAATTGAGTTATCGTTTGAAAAGGAAGGATGCTCATACCTTCACGTTCGCCCAATTCCTTAGTAACGAAAGTCGACCTATAGAAAATCTTAAAGAAGCTTTTGAAAATTTTGCTGGTGCTTGGAATTCGGTTAGATCCCACATTACACGATACGGATGTCGAGAATTTCCAACTCCAATGCCTGAAATGTCCGAAAATCTTCCCGTGGTCTATGCATTGATCGAGATGAGAGATGAATCATTATATATATGTGGAGCGATTGAGCATTTGGTAAATTTGCAAAATACATTTTTGCAGCAGGTTTTAACCATCAAACCCGGTTGTCCTTCACTAAGATTTTTAGAACAGGAACAATTTTCAAACAATAAGGGTAAAAACCGCGCATCCCCTAGTCAATATTATATAAAATCCTTATCACTTTCCGAAGCACGTGACAAAAATATAATAAATTATGAATGGGATCCTCAATTACTTTCCTATAGTCAACGCGATCTCAGGCTTGGTCATGGACAAGAAATTCGATATGAATTATGTAAAATAGAGGCAGAATTAGCATATTCTTTGATTTTCGACAAAGTTCACTTGAATAAAAGCAACGAATTATTCTGGCTAGACATATTCTCGTATCATCTAGAATTATTTTCAAACTCTCGAACAATTCTTAGCGAAATTAGAGAATTGGTTCCTCAAGAAACCATTTCTGCTGACAAGCCTAGAATTTTCGAAAATCCCACTGAACTCTTATCAGAACTAGAGGTCTTACTTTGTTTTTTGAAACGAACTTCGGGTGGTGATCGAGAAATGGAAATTACCGATTATCTTAATAAATGGATGAAGCTATCCGCATTAACTGGGAATGATCAATTCTCTAGGATGGTTAACGGACTACGATTGAAACATGTGATATCATTATATGAGCTAGTGGAAGAAAAGGTGGCAGATGTAGAAATTGAATTCATTGATGAAAAATATAAGGCCAAGCTATCGAAACAATTACAGGAAGAAATTATGGCAGGAGTTGACTTTGAACAGTCACATGGATTTGGTGGAAGCAGTGTCAGGAAATATAAAATTTCACACGCGGCATTCACGACCGTATTGAAGAGGTTCATGTTTCGTTATCTATCGTCTGAAATGTATTCCGAGAAAGAAAAACTTGCCGACTATTTAGCCGGTGAAACCATGATCGATTGCTGGCAAGCCTGGGTCTCCGAAGAGGTTATTCGTGAAAATTTTCCAAAGTCTTTATTAATTGCCAATACTTACGATGCATATAAATATACAATGAAACAAATTCAGGTGAGTGTGTCAGTATTCTATTTACATATAATATTTGATTTTTATTTCTGATAATTGTCTTCTAATATTTATATAGAATATGAATAAAGCAAATAAAAGTAGCAGCAGTAGCAAACCCAACGAGAGCACAACAAGAGCAAGACATGGTACGAGTAAAGACAACGGACGAAGTGGAAGAGGTGGCGGAAGGGGTGGAAGGGGTGGAAGGGGTGGTGTAAGAGGCGGACGAGCAAAAGAGGTTTTCTAAATAACTTGTTATTTAACGATTAACTGCATAACGTATTATATATTAGTGTCATCTTATTCTATTCAATTAACTTGCTATTCATTTTTTATTACCCATTTTTACTTTATTGCCATAGTTATTTTTGTTTTTTCCTTCTAACAGTTTGGTTTGATACTTCTTGTTTGTCAATAAGCTTCTTCGATATAATAAATTATCTGATTATTTAGGTTTCTACAATATATAAACTTTGGATTTTAATAAAAATCAGCTATAGTATAAATCAAATTTTATTAAAATGTTATTTTATTTAACCTTAAAGAGTAGAAATAGTAACTGCCTACTTGTAATAAATTTTTAAAATTTTTTATTTAAAAATTACTATCTAATCTAATAAAGATTTTATTGATATATGATTAATAATTAACTCTTTTTCCATTATTTTAAATTATTAATTCATGCTCTTTTTTATTAAATCTACAATATTAATTATAATTCTATGTGAAAATTTATATTATTTTTCTTATCATAAATTACTTTAATTATAAAAAATTTTGAAATACATAATATATTTCTATATCTATTTTAACTAGAGCTTAAAGTTTTTAATAGAATTTAAATCAAAATTATTAGTCAATTTGCAATTTCAAAAAAATTTTTATTTAATAATTTTACTAATGTACTTTGGATATTTATTTTATTAAAAACATTAATTGTTTTAAATAATTTTTTAATTTTTTGTTTATAATTACAAATAAAGTATTAATATTGTTATAGACAATAGAACATGACATTGAAGCAAATTGTCTAACAACAGTGATAATAATAGTAAAATAATATCATAATTGATAATAATATATAATGAGAAGAATAAATCTTTAAATTATTTATTATATAAAATTTTGTAAATAAATTATATTTTTTTTGAAAGAATATAATTATCTACTGTTACACTTGATTTTCGTCCAAAATAATCACTACCCCTTGTCCGATTTTCACTAGCATTTACCCTTGAAATGTTACTCATTCTAGAATAATTCTTGTATTACTATCTTTGTTATTGTTTAGCACTGTACTTTTCGTGCTAATGTTGCTCTAGAA